TAACCCAGTGATTATATTTTTTATTTATACAGAATTTGGAGTGTTTCTGGATTGATTGTTCATGTTCTTGCTTAAAGGTTCCTGATATTCAGCCTTTCTCTTTAGCTCTTGGTATTGTCAGAAGTTTTGTGTCTGTTCTTTTTCAATGTTACTGCATATTTCAGCCAGTATTGCACACATGCTAGGCAAATGCTGAAGCCCTGAATTACTTCATAGCCCTATTGTCAGACTTTTAAATCAATCTAAAGTAGCTTTGTGTTTTGATACCTTCTGGTCATTTTAATTTGTATTTATGTAATGATCAAAATTATGATACCAACACACATTTTGTGCACATTTTGTCATCCTTTTATCCTCTTTAAGAGTTTATTTAGTTATTTTCTCATATTTAATTTTGTTTTATTAGTATTATACCTTATGATTTTTATATATTTTATATGGGAAATTTTGCCACATACACAGTTTTCTATTATTTTCTTCCATGTTGTTGCTAAGGAATATTACTTTAACTAGTAAAGACGTATTACATTTATTTCACCTTGCCTGCCTAAGGCACCTGATTGGTCTAATAAAAAGATGAACAGCCAATAGCTAGGCAGTAAAGGGATAGGTGGGGCTGACCATCAGAGAGAACAAGTAGGAGGAGGAATTTAGGCTTAATAAGAAGAGAGAATGAGGGAAAAAAGGAAGACTCCAAGGGCCAGCCATCCAGCCAGCTGCTAGTTAGCCATGCAGCTGCCAGGCAGCCAGACATGGAGAAAACAGAAAAGTAGGACATTCAGAATGAAAGAAAGGTTTAAAAAAAGCCCCAAGGGAAAATGTAGATGAAGAGAAACAGGTTACAATAAGTTTTAAGATCTAGTGGGACAGCGTAAGATAAGGCTGAACATTCATAATCAATAATACCTCTCCATGTCATGATTTGGGGGCTGGTGGTCCAAGAAAGCCTGCTATATGTTGTAATTCATCTTTTTATTCTCTTAGCATTATCCTTCACAAAGCAAAATTTCTTTTGAGACTATGCGGAATATGAGGGAAAGAAAAGAGTATATGTTTTAAAAACAGAATTTCACATAGTCTGGGTTGGCAAAAACAAAAACAACCCCCCCCAGAAACCCCAAAAGAAACAAAGGAAAACAAAACAAAACATATTACTATGTAGCTGATGACCATGAACTTTTGATCCTCTTGTCTCCTGTACCTTCCAAATGTAGATTACCGATTGTGACACCATGCCTGGCTCTATGTAGTCTTGTATTTCTTGAGGTTAGATCCAACTGTTAGTGTCATCAGTGTCTTCTAGGTCCAGATCCAAGTGTGGAAAGGTAATGTGCTTGAAAGCAACCTTGTAAAGACAATCTGTTGGTGAGGCATTTGTAAGACACTGGAGGTATATGAGTGGCCTGCTCCCTCCCCTGAGGATCTCCAACTGCCAGGTTCCACCCACAAGACACTCCAACTGACATAACAGCTGAACCCAGCCTCTCCAAGTGGAGGCAGCCAAACTCAGGACTTGGAACCCCACCAATTCTCCACCCTAGAATGTAAAAAAAAGTTTCTTGTTCCAACCATCTGTTCCCAAATACCAGGCAGCCATTTCTCAAATTGCCACACAGAGGCTTATATTAATTACCAATGCTTGACCCATAGCTCAGGCTTGTTATTAATATGCTCTTACATTTTTTAGCTTTTTATGTTTGTATTTCCATCAATGATTACATCAATTATTGCATAAAGCTAAACATTCTTAAATAAAAATTATATAACTGTACATTATATAAGTCCTTCCAGTTCAAACTATTTTTTTTAATTTATTTATTTGTTAAAGATTTCTGTCTCTTCCCCGCCACCGCCTCCCATTTCCCTCCCCCTCCTCCAATTAAGTCCCCCCCCTCCTCAGCCCGAAGAGCAATCAGGGTTCCCTGACCTGTGGGAAGTCCAAGGAACCCCCACCTCCATCCAGGTCTAGTAAGGTGAGCATCCAAACTGCCTAGGCTCCCACAAAGCCAATACGTGCAGTAGGATCAAAATCCCATTGCCATTGTTCTAGAGTTCTCAGTAGTCCTCATTGTCTGCTATGTTCAGCTAGTCCGGTTTTATCCCAGGCTTTTTCAGACCCAGGCCAGCTGGCCTTGGTGAGTTCCCAATAGAACATCCCCATGTTCTCAGTGTGTGGGTGCACCCCTTGCAGTCCTGAGTTCCCTGCTTGTGCTCTCTCTCCTTCTGCTCTTGATTTGGACCTTGAGATTTATGCCCGGTGCTCCAATCTGGGTCTCTGTCTCTGTCTTCTTTCATCGCCTGATGAAGGTTAATATTCAGGAGGATGCCTAAATGTTTTTCTTTGGGTTCTCCTTATTTAGCTTCTCTAGGATCACTAATTATAGGCTCAATGTCCTTTGTTTATGGCTAGAAACCAAATATGAGTGAGTACATCCCATACTCCTCTTTTTGGGTCTGGCTTACCTCACTCAGGATAGTGTTTTCTATTTCCATCCATTTGCATGCAAAATTCAAGAAGTCCTTGTTTTTTACTGCTGAGTAGTACTCCAATATGTATATATTCCACACTTTCTTCATCCATTCTTCCATTGAAGGGCATCTAGGTTGTTTCCAGGTTCTGGCTATTACAAATAATGCTGCTATGAACATCGTAGAGCATATACTTTTGTTGTATGATAAGGCCTCTCTTGGGTATATTCCCAAGAGTGGTATTGCTGGGTCCAGGGGTAAGTTGATCCTTACATTTTGAGTTAACTCATATTTCTTATTTACACTCTACCACATGTTCATACCTTTATTAGCATGGCACGTTTATATCCTGCTCCCTCTGCATCTGGCTGACAGCTCCTGACTCCACCCTTCTTCCCATCATCCTTAACTTGGTCACCCCACCTATACTTCCTGCTTGACTACTGGCCAGCCAGTGTTTTAGTAAACCAATTTGAGTGACAAATCTTTACATTGTGCAAGAGGATTATTCCATAGCACTAGAAATCTCCACCCCGAAAAGCCTTGCCGCCAAAGAAATCCTTTCTTTCTGCTTTCTTCTTGGTTCTCTGCTACTTCTTGTCTGAGCAGAGGCAGCCACCCTCCTGCATTTTTCCATCCCAATAAATCTCTCATGTGAGGTTTGTTGTGTGGTATGACTTTGTGGTTGATCTTGGCTCCCTACTGTTAGGATACCTTTCCCCTTAGAGGTGTAACACAGCACTTTCTAGAGAATTCAGCACATTTTGAAAATCTCAGGTTTAACAAATCAGCCAAAATCTCAGACTTCCTGTGTAGGTTTAGAAATCACACCAATCAAGGCAACATACAGAAAATGAACAATTAACTGTGTTTGCTGTTGATTACAAGTTACAAGTGGAGCCAAGTCTACTTGCTACTTTTGGTGAAGGCTTAGTGGCTTATGGGACAGCAAGTAAAGCTGAAGCAAATTGAGACCTGTCAAGATTCTTCTCTGGTGGTCTCAGGTTTGAAGTTTCTTTCGCTCATGTTTTGAAAACACTTCATTCTCCTTGCAAAGAGAGTACAGTCTCACTGGTCTTCTGGCCTTATGCGTATATACCTAATATTGTTTTTATTTCAGTCGGAAGAAAACAGTATTAAATTCAGTAATAGAAGAGAAATATGGAGAACTGGAATTAGTCTCCCACTGGAAAAAGTTATCTATTGCTGAGAAATGCTTGCTTTGGGTGGTGAAGGAGGAAGGTGCAAAGAGGTGTAAATCCTATGTGATATGCAATAAACTATTCTTCATTTTCTGCCCCAAAGACCTATGTACCTTCTAACACATTAAATGGTATCTAGAAGCCCTCTCTCCCTTTCTTCATCCTCTTCCCTTTGTATTTTGTTGTTTTGAATTGAAGTGTATTTTTTCAAACAATATATGATTACAATTTTCCCTCCTGCAGAGTCCTCCCATGTCATCTCCACACCCCTACTCACCCAAATCCACACCCTTTCTTGCTGTCTATTGTTAGGAAACAAACAGTTATCTAAAAAAATAACGTAAAATAAAATATGATTAAATAAAAAGCAAACAAACCAGAATAAGTTAAAAGAAATAAGCAAATGACAAGAAAGAGTCAAAGGAAAGGCACAAAACCCACTTATAGATGCAGAGACATGGTGATATTTTGTTTCTTATCTAACAAATATAGCTTTCCTGAAGATCAGGGAAGCAAAACAGCCAATCACTAAGGAGGACTGAAAAGAGAGTAGGTTCCTGTGTCATCCAGCCTTATAGTCCTCTCCAATGGGATTAAAGGCATGTACCACCACCACCTGGCCTCTATGGCTAACTAGTGTGGCTGCTTTGCATCCTGATCTTCAGGCAAGCTTTATTCATTAAAACACAAATTTCACTATATTTCCCCCTTTTTGTCTAACATAAAAGTAATGCGGGATGACACAGGAACTCGTTCTCTTTTCATAGAGGTAAGAACTCTCTAGTGGTTGGCTGCTTTGCTTCTCTGATCTTCAGGCAACCTTTGTTTGTTAGATCATCAACAAAATATCACTATAGAGACATACACATTCACACTCACAACTCTCATTAAAGATGTCAAGCCAGACTCACAAAAGAACTTAATTGATACTTTTGGAATTTTTTTCTTTTTGCCTCTCTCATAATGCTTCCTCTGGGCTTTTTTTCTTTTTTCTTTCTTTTTGTTCCCCTAATCTTACAAGACTTTCTCTCTCTCTCTCTCTCTCTCTCTCTCTCTCTCTCTCTCTTTCTCTCAGACATTGTTTCCCTGTGTAGCTCAGTCTGGCCTAAACTAGTGATCCTTTTGCCTCAGCTTCTGAAGTTGGTATTACACACTTGTAGTCTCAGAAGCCTGCCTGTCTCTTTATTATTCCTTGCAGAATTTCAGCATTATGGAGTTTAGCCCCCGAGAAGACAGCTGATCTTGTCAACCAGTCCAGTCATTGAGAGCACATCTCTTTCCTTTGTTCCGTTGCAGACTGTTAATTCTTCTTGTCTTCTTTTCACAAAGGACTATGATGCCTTCTTTGAAGCCCGAGAAAATAATGCAGTGTATGCCTTTTTAGGCTTGACAGCACCACCTGGTTCAAAGGTATGATTCCTCTATTTACTTTGTTGTTGACTATCTTGTTGCTACTGAGTTGTTTAACCAGTTAAAGTTCTCCCGGTTAACTATTCATAATAAATCCAGAGCCGTGTTTGTTCTAAGTACGTTTAATCCTCAGTAGGTTAGACTAATGTGCATAGAACACAAAGTGTGTACGCAGGAAGTAGAGTATTAAGTGGAACTTCTCTGTCAAACTGCCTGAGGCAGTAGACATAGAATTATTCATTCTCAAATAAGAGATTGTCAGCAGTAGGCCTCCATCATGCCAACTCTCATGCACAGTTCTACGTGGACATCAAGCATCTTAGTTTATGATAATCTTCTTAATAGCATTTATTAGCTGTGTGAGAATAAATGATTAAATGATAGAGTCAGCTATTCAAGTATAACAGGAACATTTGAGTTACAAAACTGGTCACTAAATTGCCAGCTAAATTTGGTATTTTGTTCCTTGCCAAGATAAATTAATTTTTCAAGTGACAGTGTTCCCTGGAGAGCCCAAATAAAGCAGGAAAGCAAAAGCGAAATTGCCTGTCCAGTTAAATGACCCAAAGCTATGGACTTTAAGTAGACCTTTTTCTTTTCCATTTGGGCTTTTCATACCAGCTCATTTAATAAAAATATGTTTCCCCCGTGGCACTAATCTGTGTTCCACTCTTAACAATAGATTTTATGTTGAGTAATTTATTTAAACTCTAGTTCCTTCTTCACTCTTGAGAACCCATAATGCCATCTACGTTTTCACCAAACAGTATTTATAAATACGTTTGTCTCACTATGACGTTCTATTTCCTTGCCAAACATTCCTTTCCCATGGATAAACATTGTATTTTAGGCTTTTTAAAACCTGACTCAAGTAAAAAGTAAAGTGGCCTTTTTTGTTTAAATAATTGGTGAGATCAAGTTAAGCCATTAATGCAGATCAGAGGGAGGGCAGAAGAAAGGACAGACCATTTCCTGTGGCTGATGACTGTGCCCCTGCAATTAAAATTAGAATTCATTTGCTCACCAAATATTTATCAATTGTCAAGCACTGAAATTAATGGCGGAAAAACAAAGTATGACATAATCCTTACATTCTTTTTAAAACCTAGTGAGTGTAGATGTGGAAAAGATTATATAATAAATGTATGTATTAAAGTAATTATAATTGAAGACATACTATTGTAAATTCTATGAAACTATAGTGTAATTATAAATAAAGTGCTATAGGGATTTAGGAAAATAATCATGATTTTTTTTATTGAGGATATTAGAGAAGTTTTTAACAGAAGGGTCTTATTTAAACTGCTGGAAATGTCAAACTATTGAGGTGATAGTCAGTTTTTACAGGGCCAGCAATGAAAAGCATGGGCATACCGTTGCGCATGCTGAGTTTCCTTTGAGGGAACAGAATGTAGTACAGTATGACTTCGGCATAGGGACTGTGAAACAGAGGACTGTGTTAGGAGCTTTAAGATCGGCTAGGTAGGTTAAGACCAAGTGATGATTGCTCTATCTGGTAGTTTCACCTTTACCCACTAGGCACCCAAAAGTTACTATGGAAAATCTGGGCAAGCAGTGGTGAGATTTTTGTTTCGTTGTTTGTTTGTCACTGTTTCACTTTGCCCCTAGCTGGTCTGGAACTCACTATGTAGATCAGGCTGGTCTCAAACTCACGTTGATCTTCTGTGCTCACCACACCCAGATACTGGTATGATTGTTTCAGTATTTTAAGACATGGTTTAGTTTAATTTAATATTCATAATTTTTTATTCTTACTTTGAGACAGGATCTTATCTCATTCTGCCTTGATCCTAGCACCTGGCTTTCCCAATGATGGGATTACTTGTCCACTTTGGTACAAAAATTTGTCTTAAAAAAGTAAATTTAATAGGAGTCTGCTCTGCACAATGAACATTAGAGGGATGATACTTTCTAGCCATATTTCTACTTCAGGATGTCTTAAGGGCCCATGAAAACAATTGAGAGGACCTCAAGGTGAAATAGCTTTAACAAAGAGAACAATCAATTTAGAAGGCAAATTAGCAGAAATACGTTATATAAACCTCTAATGTCTTTTTTCTGTCCTGATTTAAATCCGAAAGTAGAATACAGTAGCACTGGATGTTATGAAGGGTTGGGCAAAAGGAATTAATATATTGGGTTAACAAAAAGTCATCTGGAGTGAATTAATTAAAGAAAGTTTTTTGAATGTTGACACGTCTTTGCCAAGACCAAAAGTGATCAATTTGATGTCTGAAGAACATTTTTCTATTCTGGTCACTTTTATTTAGTGACAGTCACTATGGCATTAGACTTTGGCTGAACAGAAAGTCCACCAGATAAGAAATTCACACATAATGGCTGGAGAGATGCCTGAACAGTTAAGAATACTGACTGCTCTTCCAGAGGACCTGAGTTTGGTTCCCAGCACCCACTGTCAGGTGGCTCTCAAGCAGATGGTACTCTAGTACCACACCTTTGGCCTCTGAGAGCAGTGGCACTTGGGTACACATACATGCACACACATGCGCGCACGCACATACACACCCACACCCACACACACCCTAAACTTAGAATTAAAAGAAATAAAAATAGATATTGCCAAAAAATAGATTCAAGTAGTTAATCCATACTGGAAAAGTATACTGATAGTAAATGAAATATGGTAAAATGAGATGCAATTTTCATAAGTGAAATTAGTAAAAGTAAGACAAAATGCTAAGGCTCTGTGCTGGGAAAGTATTTTGAAACAGACAGAGCTTTAGGCAGAGGAATCTCTTACTTTCCTTTGAAAATGAGAAGAGCAAATATTTGTTAAGAAACTCAAGAATATTACTCTGCACCTTCACCCAGAAATTTCACACTGAGTATTACATAGCCTGATGAAGTAATCCTAGATATAGAAACATTATGGGTAAAAGCATAAATCCAAATATAACTCAAGATCTCAAATCTTTGGAGAAAATTAAATGTTTCAAAAGAGTGTTAACTAAATTAATTCATCAACAAACTTTCTGGATAAAGTATGAGAGTCAAATATAATTTAAAGATTCATTTATGCATATGTCTGTTATCAATAATGTTGGAAAAAATGTCCAACAAAAGATCCAACAAAAATATTAGTCCATTTAGTGAGCTCATGTTGACATTTAAAAAATTTCATCATGACTTCATCTTTTACAGTTTCACTTTCTATAGGTCTGTCCACTCTGGTCTGGAAATACTAATGGAAAATTCTAGAACAAACAGTGTATATGTATGTTTTTGTCAGTCTTATTAGTGTGATGAAATCCCTCACTTTCCTACTCTATTCCATACAGGATCTGAATTGCCCTTTTGCCAAGCTCATCCAGTCTCTATTCATCTCCTGCTCAATGGCAGTGGAGAAAGAAGCAAACACATTCACATAGCCTTTATTAGAGTTTATTGTTATAATGTATCATTATTAGATATTTTTAGTAGTTTCTAACTATGCTTATTTTATGAGCTAAACTTTTTTATAAGAAAAAAATTCACATCTACTAGGATGTCTATGGTTTCAGGTGTCCACTGCAAGTTGGAATATCTCCTGTATGGAAAAAAGGGAACTATTGTAGCTTGTGGCAAAAATATATGAAACTGTGCTATAGATTTATTTTTTACTGGATAATTCTCTAATTCTTTTCAGAATAGGATAAAAAGAGCCTAGAAGGAATACTAGCCAATAGCAATGACTTTCTCTCATTCCTTATTTTCCAAATAACTAATAGTTCATACCCTTTAAAATTAAAAACTACCCAAGTAGTGGTGCCACACACCTTTAATCCCAGCACTTAGGAAACAGAGGCAGGCAGATTTCTGTGAGTTTGAGTCTACAAGAGCTTGTTCCAGGACAACTAGGGGTGTTAAAGAGAAACCCTGTCTCAAAAACAAAGAAACAAAAATTATTGAAAACTAATTCAATAGAGAGCTTGCTACCTAAAAGAACTGTACTGAAAATTGTTGTAGGAAGGCTACTTGGTTGTTTCGGCTACCGGGCAGCTCAGACACAAAACAACCACAAAGAAACTATATTAATTAAATAACTGCTTCGCCCATTAGCTCTAGACTCTTACTGGCTAACTCTTACATCTTAATTTAACCCATTTCCATTAACCTGTGTATCGTCACGTAGTTGTGCGTTACTGGCAAGTTTCAGCATCTGTCTCTGGCGGCCACTCTATGGCTTCTCCTAAACGCTACCTTCCTTCTCCCAGCATTCAGTTTTGTTTTTCCCATCTAAGATATAGCTTCTATAGACCAAGCCAGTTTCTTTATTCATTAACCAATAAAAGAAACACGTAGACAGAAGGACCTCTCACACCAGAAAATGTTTCCATTAAGCATGTTCTTGTAGAAGACAATTCTGCATACCTGGTGGAGTTAAGAAGGAAAGAATATTGTTAGTTTCTTTTTTTAATCAATTCAGACGTAGTTCTTAGCACAGGCAGTTCTTACTTTGTAGTGAAAGTGATGATTTTAAGATAGGAAATAATAAACTAGTTTGTACTGTGATGGAAAAATAAATCCAGTGATGCTTGTCTTTAAGGAGAAAATGGTTTGCCTAGAAAAGGCTCTTGCAGTAGCCTTTTAACATAGTTGAGAGTTATGGTTAGAGAAATGTTTCCATTAATTTTGTGTGAATCATTATGTGGTGGAAAGTGGCCATGGAATCTGCCTAAGCTGTGGTATGTGAAACAATCCTATTTTCATAGAAAATAGTCTACCCAAGAGATTACTAACCAAGATTAATAACATCTAACTGTGTACTTGTTCTAGTCAAAAAAGAGGAGAGGAGGAAAAGAAAGAATTGGTGCCCATAATGGATCATGCACTGAGCCACACACTTTGTATATATCTTTAGATCATCTTTATGAGTTAAGTATCTGTAAATAATTTTACAGAAGAAACTAATACTTAAATAATTTTGCTCAAGAATGCATAATTGAGTGCAACAGATGGAATTTGAACCCTGAATTAAGTCAAAACCTGTGCAGGTACAGGGTGAAGTTCATATTTTATGCTTCTTAAAGTTAATTTTTTTTTACTGTGTGTGTGTGTGTGCACAGGCACCCATGTGTTATGGAGACCAGAGGACAACTATTGCTACACAAATGAATATATTTTATGGATCTTGTTTTCTTTCTTTCACTTTTCAGTGTGTGTGCACAACGATGTGTGTACAAAGGGTGTGTGTGTGGGGGGGGGACCACTAGTGCTACAGTGCGTATGTGTAGGGAAGAGGAGTGAGTTCCAGGATTTGAACTCAGATCATCAGGCTTGAATCATGGACAGTTCTACCTGCCGAGCTTTCTCACTGTCCTACATTATATTTTATTCCTAAAATTAAATACAAACTTGCTCTAGAGACCAGACTGGCCTTGAACTCAGAGAGCTCTGCCTTCCTCTGCCTCTCCCGCATGCTAGGATTGAAGGCGCGTGCTATCAAGCCTGGTAAAAAGACACAGTCTAATGGACAGTGACCTAGAATGTAGAATACCCTTTTGGCTTACATGCCCATCTCAGTGATTTCTTTAACTATGAAATCCAGAGTATGACTAAGGGAAGCTAGGCTCTTTCCCAGTACTGCTCACTTGCAAGTGATGTGCAGTTATGTGAAGAAACACATGACCAGGACATACGCATTACTACATAACTGCTTCCCCAACTGCATCTGCTAGTTGCTATTCACAGTTTTGTTTATTTTTTAAGTATTTTGGTAACTTCATACATGTATATAATGTATTTTGATCATATTTAGCCTATACCTTGTCTCCCTCTCCCTGAACTGCTTCTTTCCATACAGTTCCACTATTCTGTGCCTTTGTGCATGACCCGTTGAATTTCAAAAACGCCTGCTGGTGCGAGCATAGATGGGGAGGCTCTTACCAGAGCATATGCACCATTTAAGGAAATTACCTTCCCCCACCCCCAGCAACTGTTAACTGCCACCTTTAATAGCCAATATCTTCTCAAGGATGAGTGGGGCCTGACAAGTCTCTCCCTAAATTCCACGAGGGAATGTTGTCAGGGTCCCGTCTCCACTAGGTAACCACCCTGTGAGTTCATGAGCTGAGTGCAAAGGTCATGTTGTGCCTACCAGATGTACTATAACATTCCCGTCCTCTTGCCCCTTTTTTCCCACTCTCTTTTCCGAATTGTCCTTTCATTCTTGGAGAGGGTGGTACAGAAGTCTCCTTTATGACTGAGCATTCAACAGTCACTTTCCCTAGTACATTTGCCAGTTATTACTTGCTGCTCACTGCTAAAAGAAACTTCTCTGACCAAGTTTGCAAGCGACTCTAATCTTTGCTCATAAACGCAAACATTTAGAAGGCAGTATGATGAGCACAATATAACCATTTAGCAGAACAATAGAAAGCTCCTTTCTTCTAATACCTGTGACCTCCCAGCCCATGGGCTCTTTACCAGGATCACAGAACCAGACGTAAATTTTCTCTTGGGGAGAAGGCTTCAAATCCAAGCCTCGTAAAAGTCCTACCATCATTTTACCAGCATCTTGCCTCCAGTTTGGCTGTGTGGTATGCAGAGTGCACATCTGAGTAAGAAGAAGTTGATACCTACTCTCTGCCAGCAGCCTGCACAGCACTTTCTGGCACAATGGAAGCTTCTGCTAATTATTTTAAAGCCTTTTTTCCTCTGGAAATTATTACTGTTCTATTGAATAATCTTAGGAATTTGAGCTAACTTATTTTAACAAAGATGCATAGACGTATCTGTCTTGTGATATTTAAACGTATGTTTTGTTTGTTTTTGATTCCAGGAAGCAGAAGCCCAGGCAAAGCAGCAAGCTTGAATATTACGCGTTCTTCCTTCAACATCTTGGAAAATAATGAATCTCCATTGCTTTTATAAAAATCTTCGCTTCAAAGAAATAGGCTTAAATGTTGCAATAATAGATTAGTTGATGTTCTCGCATGCAAACAAGCATAATTAAAATGTGAACATGATGGTGAGAAAAATGAGAGACGAAGTTAAAACTTTAAGTAGATATCATAGAATAGTATTCTTATCTGCCAAGATACTTTATGTTCTGTAAGGATTTTACAAAAAAACCATATGCTTCTTTTTTGATATTACTGTTGCTTAAGGATATCTTCATTTCAACTTCAAGGAATTAAAAGAGGAGCAAGAGAGAGCAAAACTCTTATTCCAAAATTGCCTCATTAACTTTAGTGAACATGAATATTTTGGTGTGATGTTACTGTTGCTGAAATGTATTTGCAGGTTATGTTTACGATGTGATGGTTATTGTGACATTCTTATTCTCCCATAGGAGCAACTTGTGTGCCCTGAACCTCAAGTTTTCCCGGCTTCTTGATGTAACATTTCATTGCACATTCAGTGATCAAGATATTTGACTTCCCACAAGAAAAGTATCAAATGCATTCCACTGTTGCTTGTTTACATATATAGTTACAATGTAATCGTGCTTCTAAGTGGCTTGCCTCAGTAAAAAATATGGATGTGTAAGTCACAGAATGATGATGGCAATTAATTTTAATTTGGCCCTTCTTGCAAAAAGCTCAGGCTTTTAATTAACCATTACACAATATCTTGCCCCTAATTGTTAAATATTATTTTTCTTTGGTGTTTGCTAAAAAAATCTTAGTGGCTCCCTTCTCCTGCTTTAATATAGCTGGTGATCATGAATGCCACTGTGTCTTGATAGCTGAACGCTTTGCTTCAGTTTGGGCAGATTGTGTCAACACCTCCGTCCAAGTAGAATGAATCACAAAGCTTTGATTTTGTCAGAAAGCACAAGTATCAAAGAAAAGGAACAACTTTTGAAATATTTTGAAGATAAGCATGACCCACGTTACTCAACCAGAAGGTACTGATTTTGTACCTTTGTCTTTTATTACTTTATTTTTTAAAACAATCACCTTTTACTTAAAATTGCTGTATCATATCTTCTGTTTGCAAGATGGTACTCTCCAAAACTCCAACATATAATGAAGTCATAGCTGTGTTTACTGAAATTCAAACTTGATTTGATGCTTTTAAAATAAGTTGTTTTAGACATTGTTACTGGATTCTAAATAATATACAGTAATTTTGATGAGTAATTGTCTTTTATAGTTGGTGAGAAAGGAGAAAAACAAAACATCAGGCAAACAAAAAAACGACTTGAAGGCAGTTTCTCAGTTTTTTTTTTTAGTGACCTAAATTTTGGACTATGTATTGGAGTCAAAAGTATTCCATTTTTATTTATTTATGTTTCTTCATTTTGCAAAATAATATTTCTCAGAGAACTCTGGAAAACAGAGTGCTTTTTAATGGATTGTGGAGTGAGCAAAATAATTTTAGTTATTATTTTTTCCTTAACATTGCTAAATGCAGCAGGTAATACTTGGCAATATTCTAGGTGGACAATTGAACTTTTGTATTAAATAATACTGTTTTGGACAGACCTTAAAGAAACAGATGCATTGGGTGATATTTATATCCGTGGTTAGTACCCTGAAATCAACTTAAATCTGTCGATTTAATGGAAAAGTTTGAATTGAGTTTTCTCCAGTTGAAGCATTTTATTTCTGTTAACTGAGAAACTTGCCAGATAGATGAGAGATGAAAGAAAAGCAAATGAAATTCTGAGGATTAAGATGAGTTTTGAATGGAACTCCACAGTATGTGCCTGGGAAATAACATCCTTGATGCTTTTTACATTATGTTTGGAATATTTGCATTTATAAATCAGACCATGTAATTTGGTAATTTCATATTTTGGAGCTCATTTGCCTTTTAGAATTTTTGATCCTCAGAAAGTTCCATTTTCACAAAACACTATAAATTGTTAATTGTATTGTTAAATGTAAACACCTCTTTGGGAATTTGAGCCTAGGTGAATAGAGAATTTTGAAGCAAAGATTGCTTTGATTGGGAAAGACTAAGTAAATACAGGGAGTTTGAGTGAAATCAGATCTCATTCATTATGTAAAAAGGTAGAATTCAAATGTATTTTGTTAACCACTTATTGGTGTTTAAAATATACAAAGTTCGTCATTAATTCTTTTCTATGTAACACAGACACTTCTTTTCTTGTGATGAATTCCAATAAAATCAATTAAGTGATTTATGTTTGATTCATTTGAATCTTCTGGTCTTCTGCTTCCTTCCACAATTCCTGTTTCTGAATACTACTAGTCAATCCCATTGTAAATGAGTTTTGAATTTCTACATTAAAAGTAATCATTCTTGGGATTCGGGAGGTGACTCAGTGTTTTAGAGTACTTAGGGCTCTCCCAGAAGAATCATGTTCTGTTTCCAACACACATGGCAGCTTATAACTGTCAGTAACTACGGTTCCATGGGTTCTGATGAACTCTCTTGGTCTCTGCTGGTACCAGACATGCACATAGTATACCAACAAACATTTATACACACAAAATAAGGCTATTTTTGAAAGAGTAACCCTCCTCTTAATGTAATTATTATTTTGCTATGAGTGTTTTTTTAACAGATTCATTGAGGTATTTTATACACCTTAAAATTTATCCATTTAAACATGTGAAATTCCATGGGATTTGCACAGTCATCAACACTTCAGGATCTAACATTAACATTCTTACCTATTAGTTCTTATTCCCTCAGTTATATCCGACCAGTGATTTAATTTTGACCTTTATGAACTTAACAGTTCTGCATGTGTCACATGAATAGAATTATAAAGCATTTTACTCTTGGTTACCATGCTTTTGAATTTCATCTGTGCCACATCTTGTAGTAGGTCGCTGGTGAATACAGCATCCATTTTCATATTGTCAAATAATATTTATTGTATATAAAGAATACCATTTTTGCTTCATTAGTCATTTGGTATAACTTTTACATGTATGCACCTTTATTTATTATGCATAGTGCTACTATGAATGCCAATGTACTGTTTTGTTTGAACATTTGTTTTCAATTCTCTTGCATATCTGTGCAGATGTGGTTCATTGGTACTTCTGTTTAACAATTCGAGTAACTACCAAATATTTTAAAATTGTCTTCACTATTTTACTTCCCCACTACCAGGGTATGCATTTTGTAAATTCTCTAGTGCTGGGGAAATTTTGTTATTTTTATCTTTTTTTAAAATTTATAAGCATTGTAGGTGCTATTACATGGCACCTCATTAGAGCTGTGGCTCACATTTCTTTGGTGTCTAAATATGTGGAGCATATTTTTATGCTGTTATGACCATTTGTGAATCTATTTTTGGAAAAAACTCTTTTCCAGTTCTCTGTTTAGTTTTGATGTCTTTGTTTTTGGATTATAATTTCTTTTATAATAGGATCACTTGTCTATTATTGTAGACATGATCTAAAATGTTATTTTCCATTCCATGAGTTTTTAATTTTTGTTTTCTAGAAGGTGGGTATTTGAAGTTCAAGTTTTTCATTTTGACAAAGTCAGCTTACACGTGTTGATCTGTTATTTCTTTTACTTTTGCTATCATAACTAAAGGGGGAGGCAATCTTAAACCAAAGTTATGTTGACATTACTCCTATTCTTTAATTGAATAATTTCATGTTGTGCTTTGTATGCGTGTGATATGCTTTGAATTACTTTTTGTGTATTATTTAGGTTAAGGATTCAATGTCATTTAATTTTGCGTGTGGACTTTCAGTTTGTCCAAGTACCATTTGCTAAAAGAACCACAAACGTTTTATCCCTATAGAATTTTCCTGACTTTTGTTAAAGCTGAGATAAAATAAGTGTATATTTTTAAAAGTTATTTCTACAAATTATATAATTATGTAGCATTGTGTTTTATTATGGTGTTCAGGAAATAGAACGCTTTATAGTGTGGAATTATTAGGCTAATTAATATAACTATTCCCTTAAATATTCTTTCTTCTGGCATAAATGTAACTTTACTCTTTTCCAGTATCTTTCTTCCCATGCCCTCCAGCACCACCTCTTAGCCTCTGGTAATAGCCATTCTCCCGCATGTCTATGCATTTGATTGTTTTAGATCACACACATAATAGAAAACATGCCATACCTATTTCCCTTAGTTCATCCGTGCTAATGAAAATGACAGAATTTCCTCCTATTTAAAGACTGAGTAGTGTTTCATTGCGTGTACACAACACGTTTTCTTAATCTGTTTATTCTCAGATGGATGCATAGATCAGTCCCATTACTTGGCTACTGTGAGTAATGCTACATGTTATAGTATGTTTCTGAACAATTAATCTTTCTTCACTGTCTGTGTACTGCTTGTGTACATATGACACTTCCACACTGTTTTGATTTTTGGTGTTTCTTTCTCAGTTTAACTTTTTCAGTTATTTTTTTAAAAGATTTTTTTTGTGAAGTAATTGGAAAAATATTTCAAATTGCAACCTGGTTTTTATTTTATTATTAATTACATTTTTAATTTAATATCACAACCACAATTTCCCCTTCCTCCTTTCCTTTCAATTCCTCCCCCACCTCCCCTCTGCCTCCTTCCTCTACATACTATGTACCTCCCTTTGTATTAAGGCTGAGCAAGGCAACCCAGTATGAGGAGTGGGTTGCCAAAAGCCAGCCAAAGTATTAGGGACAATTTCTGCTTCCACTGTTAGGAGTCCCACAAGGCAGAACAACCTGCCCAGCTTTCACATATATGTAGGGGGCCTAGGTTGGTCCCATGAAGGCTCCCTGCTGTTGGTTCAGTTTCAGTGAGCTCCTATGATCCCAGATTATTTGATTCTGTGGGTTTTCGTGTGATGTCTTTGACACCTCTGGCTCCTACAATCCTTCCACCCTCTTCAGCAGGATTCTCCACGCTTGGCCTAATGTTTGGCTGTGAGTTTCTGCATCTGTTTCCATCAGTTACTGGATGAAGCCTCTCTGATGGGATAGGTTCCAATCGATGAGTACAGCAGAATATTGTTAGGCATCATTACATTTACATTTTTCTCCAATCCTGTTTGGTTCTATCCTAGGTCTCTGGGTCCTGGCACTGGTCTCAGGCTGGGCCAATCATTTGTTGGCCACCCCCACTCTGAGCCACTCTCACCCCAGCACATTCCATAGGTAGGAAAGACTGTAGGTTGATGATTATGCAGCTGGGT